TTACTTTACCACAATCATGGACCACCCTGTATACTTTTTATGTGCTGGTAAATTAAGTACATAACAGATTACTCTCCATTAAGACAATTTTTTTAATTAAATAATTTTATATACACACACATATAAGCATTATTAAACTTGCCTACTATTTCAGAATTTTGCGTTATACCTTTGTTAGCATGACTACTAAGCACCCTATCCCCTCTACCTGAAGGAATATTCTTCAGCGGAAACCCAACTCCCATTTTCAAGGCGGCCGCAGTTGGCACCATCATAGGTTGTGGAGCTCTGGCGATGGGCGGTTTACCCAAATCTTCAATGTTGGGCAAGTTCTTAGTCGGGCAGGCACTCAAGATAGCTGAATGGTATTTGTGAATGTTTTGTTTTAGGTCAATATTTTTCGAAGTCACGTCAGTGTTTTTCTTCAGAACCTTCCGAAGAAAATGCTTACATTACAAGTGTCCAAAAACATACACATACTCTGTGTATCCAATATTATACAATTTTTTTTATAACTATACTCACCTCATCATATTTAACCCTCAAATGTTGCTGTTCATCTAATAAATTCTTATTATCCTCCATCAATTTTTCCAATGTAGTTTTCATTTCTTTCAGACGATCATTGCGATCTAAATAATACGCAATGAACTCTACCGTAAACGCAGGAGGAATATGCCATTTCTTTCTTACATCCACCAAAGCAGCTGCCTGCGCCTCCTGCATCTCTAAGGCTAATGTGTTTATGCCCATGAGCTCGGCTTTGCGCAAAAGTTTCCGACAGGCAGATGCGCTAGTTGTTAATAATCTGGGCATTTTTTGCGTTGGCACTAAAAAATATTTTTAACTAGTTCCTTTTTTGTTGCAGTGCAAATTCTTATTTATCTTTCATTTTCCCTTGTTTCGACTTCTAAAAGACATCATCAGGAAAAATTAAAGTCCCATAAATGAGACTTGCTAAGATTAATTATTTCTTAATTAAATATTAATTAATTTTGTAAATTAGTAAAATATTATCAATTCCCGCGTGTGAACAACATTTTACTAATTTGCACCATTAATTAAAATTAAATTATGAAGTGGTTCTGCTTAACCAGTCTCATTCATGCAACTTTAATCTCTGATCATGGCTTTAAGAAGTGAAACTGATTGTAAAAATAAAAAAAAGTCTTAAAATAGAAAAGGATTCTAATTTTCCTTATGACAATTTAGTAAATATACAATAACTAAAACAGGGATTTCTGCCAAAAAAACTTAAATGTAATGGCTAAAGTTCTAATGTAATGATTAGACCTGAACATTTGCATATAAAGTCAGTGATATTATAAGAAATTTGAAAATAACTATATTGAAATTAACTTATCAGTGTATAATTTTCTTGCAGGTGAAAGATGGACTTCAGAATATACGAGGTTTAATCAAAAAGTAACGAGAATTTTTGAACTGCGTGTGCCTTATCAATTTTTAGATAGCTGTCATGTTTAGCGAGTGAATGAGTAAAACTTACCTCAGTGTTTTTGGCAATTTTTTGTGTGGCGAAATATCGGATCAGAAAGTTTGTCAGATATTTTGTGTTAAAAAAGGAATTAAATGCAGCAAAGCGTTTAAAATGTTAAAGAAAGCCTTTGGCGATAATTAGGGTTTCTGGTCGAGACTTCTCGAAGCGAGAATTCCCGGGAAATCTGGCCTTATTCGAGACGAGAAAAAAGTGTTGAGAAATCGAGAAATTTAAAAATCACGCGCGTCTTAAGTTCTTGACTGGAGTTCGTTTCGTGCATGTGTTCAATTCGTTTCTCAACAATTAACTGAGCGGTTAAAGTGGCTTCTCTACCAGCCCATGATTTATTTATTTTACTTTTTTAAGGCTTTAGTTTACTTTGATGACTCTTATTTTTTTAATGTACAGGGTGATTCACTATATTTTGACCCCCTTTTAACTTTTTTGTTTTAAGAGTTATAAAAAAATGTGAAATACAAAAGTTGCACGATTTTTTATGAAGTTTTCGAAAATGAGAAAAACAAATGAAGTTCAAACAAAATGGCCACGGATGGTAATTGTGTTAATTTAAATGGAACACCCTGTATATTTTTACATATTTGGATAGAACGTTTCTTGTGGAGCATAGTCATATATGGTTTGTTGGGTCCATCTCTAATAATAGGCGAGATAATATTAAAAAACTAAATGATGTGTTTTTTATTAAGAAAATAAGACATCTTGTAATTGTTAGACCTCTTTCAGGCATTTCTGCCTTTTTTCCAATTACGTAAGGATTTAGATTTAGTTGTAATATATTTTGACATATCGGACATTGATATAGTCCAAAATACGTTTAGGTATTTTAAGTAAATCTCACTAATTAGACCGTGTGGGGCCAATTACTCATAGACAATCTTATATATGGTAGGTCGTGACAGTGACAGGTAGTAATGTCATGATAACATTGTTACTGTTTGACAGTTTGTATTAGTATTTAATTAAAATGGGTTACACAGAAATAGAAAATTGAAATATTATTAGGAATTAAAATAAACTATGGAGATTATCTTAACTACTCTATCTTAATTCCTATAATATTTAAATTTTCTACTTCTGTGTAACC